TCTACCAAAAAAGAGTTTGCAGCCGGGCTCTCGGAGCATGACATTGTCGTGGAATAATTTGGCGAAGGGAGCAGATAGCCCTTTCTGGCTGACATTTCTTGTGCAAAACATGCTGAATATGATTAGAGATACCCCCGCACCACGGCAGACGCCTGCAGCCAATGGAAGCCCGGGCATCCCCAGCAACCCCTCCCCGTCTGGTTTCGTATGCACCGAGCTGCTCTCAGGTCGACCTCTGAATTTGGGAGATAGATGTATATTAATGTGTACTATGGATTTCCATACACACAGGCGCGCACGCTTCGCCCACATGGGCGAGTGCCTGCGCCTGGGCGGGAGCCGCGCTCCCGGTAAGGGGAAGGAGCGGGGCTTTGCTGGTACTGGCTCCAAGTTTTGCTCCCCTCTTATCACACGCACCGCTATAAAATAGCCCGGCGGTCCTGATGTTTATTATACCTAGGCTGAAGCGGTGTCCAGATGAAGCTTTTACTATCGCTCCTCTCTCCCCGCGGTTGGGCTTTCCGGCAGCGATGCCTGCTCACCTCCCTGCACAGCCTGTGTGTCTCACGAAATTAATAAAGCCACGGCTCGCCCGGTGTTTTATGCTCAGGCTCCGCTCCTTTCATTTGATTGTCTCGTTTTTTAAGAAATAAAAGACGTGTTATTGTTTATCACGGATCATTGGAAACCGTAAAGGGGCCTGGTGCCTCTCGCGTTAAACTACCGAGGGAAGGGGGCTGCTTCCAGCCTAACATCACCGCCACGACGCCAGTCTGGGCTTAAATTTCCTTGAGATAAAACGCTCGCTGCTGCGCTGAAGAATCTCTTAGGGAGCGTTGCCACTCTGGGAGGATTGATTGTGCGGTCGCAGCTCCTAATGCTTTAGTTAACGCTGGATTCTTCCCGAGGTCTGATTACCATATAAAATATAAGGCCAGACATATGCCACAGAAAGAATCCAGACGCGAGCAGTTCAAATGGAACCTCGCAGGATGCTGTGCACCCTGTTTATTGATGTGTTTATATTTGGGCGATCATTTTTACATCTCCCCCCCCTCCCCCTCCGTTTGGGTCATTCACTTTTCGCATCTTCAAAAGCACCGTCTCTTTCACAAGCAACGTACTAAATAATAGAATAATCCTGAGATCCTAGACAGCCCTGTCCAGTCAATATGTAATTGTGGCGGAGGCAGCAGACAGATAGCAGACAGACAGGGACGCAGACAGAGAGACGGATAGATTTTCTAATGAATCGCTTAATGATAGCTTGCTTTCACTTCCATCGTCTCTCGCTTATGCCATTTTGAAGTCGCCTCACCGCCTGGCCGGCGGAGCTAAGGGGTCTTCCCTCCGAGGGGGGCCTGAGGCCGCCCGGCACTCCCTGCCCGCCCCTGCGGAGCGGGGCTCGCTCCTCTCCCCCG